CTCTCTCTCTCTCTCTCTCTCTCTCTCTCTCTCTCTCTCTCTCTCTCTCTCTCTCTCTCTCTCTCTCTCTCTCTCTCTCTCTCTCTCTCTCTCTCTCTCTCTCTCTCTCTCTCTCTCTCTCTCTCTCTCTCTCTCTCTCTCTCTCTCTCTCTCTCTCTCCCCCCCCCTCCCCAATGTGTCTACGTATATGTGTGTATGTATGTGAAAAAAATCGTTCTCCAATTCAAAGGACTCCGTGTTTCTCAATTATCTCTGAATTCTTTATTCTTTCGTAGAATAAATGATAGATTATGCACTATTCCTCATCTTAATTATCTTTCTTCATATTATTGATTTTTTTTTTTCAAGCGTACAACCTTTCCCGAGCGGGAGAATCTCTCCTCCTCTTTGCGCTTTCTCACGCGACACGTGCGCGCTACGATCGCACGTGGGTGCACGCGTCACACGTCACGCGGACCAACGACAGTCGGTACGCGGCGGCGTTCGGTAGCCGCGCCGCCGCCGATCGAACGTACCCGCACGGCCGGGGTTCGACGAACTCTTTGTCTCGAAAACCGGACAAACCGTACGTTCGTATGTACGTATACGTCGGTCGTCGGCCACCTCTGGACATGCCGCAATCGCGCCTAACATACCTCGCGTTTCTTGCCTCTCCCACGACAATTTCGCCGCCGCCGCCGCCGCCGCCGTCGCCGCCATTGCTGTCGCCGCAACGATCCTCCCTTTCGCGAAATTAAACGCAAATTGTTTCTTTGCTCGTTCTTGAAATTAAATACACTTATAATAATGGCACTTAATCATAATGAAGTTCATACCTTGATCGAGATAAACAACCAAATTTAATAATTAATATCAAATTGATTTATTAATTTATTTTTTTATTTTTACTCTGATATTTAAGGCAATGTCGTGAAAGAGGAAAGTTTTTTAGATTGCTTCAACAATTGTCGTCTCGTTTTGGGGAGAAATCGGGGATTTTCTAGAGACAATAGGTTGTAAAAATAAAGCGTGTTTATTGTTACGAGATTTACTTATGGTATACATTCGCTGTTTTTTCCGCCACTGTTTTTGCTTCTTACTCGTTCGCTTCAAGTCGGCGAATACATCATTGCGGCCGTCGGGTCCTCGCTTCTTAACCGCGGGCCTTTTTTTCTCGGGCCGATTTACGGCGCGATACGCAAGAGGGAATTACGCGGCGAATTTTTATGCGCGTTTTCTTCTTTTTTTTTCACGTACACACTTGCGCGGGAGCACGCGAAACAGCATATCTCGCAACAATGTTACGGATCGCCGACATTCTCGCAGGAAACATAAATATCGAGCCTTCGAAAATTCGAAACTCCGAATACGGGGTCGACCCATCCCTTTCCAGGCAGAGCGACGGATGCAATTTTACGTGCTTTTTGCGCGATGGGCGTACCAGAAGATTGGTAGTTCAATCTGTTAATGCAGGATACATCGTTTTTGAATAAAATTACATCTTTGAGTTAAGCCGTAACTTGATGAGATTACGCTAATTACGCGAATTGAATTGCGAGAAAAGAACGAGTAATAATTGACAATTATTCCTTAATAATAGTGAGATGTTACAGCTTGTTTAAAAAGGGCTTCTTGATGAAATATGGTTTTTTTTTTTGTAAATTGAGAATTTTGTTAAAAGTTTCTGATTCAAGAGCGAATCCGTTCGTGAAACTCTCTGTTCTCTGATTCGCCCTTTGAGATTTCAGGCGATTCGTTAAAACGTTCCCGTCTAATTCCGTTTCCCTCTTAGTCTCGTCTCTACGCCTTCTCGCCTTTCGCTCGAACCTCGGCGAACCTCGGGCCATTGTTAAAACTTTTTCGAGGTTATTACACGTGAGATATGTAAATGTGCGTCGCCGGTCGGGGTCGGTCCTCGACGTCGAAGGACCAGCTCCACCAGATCGTTCTCGCTCGCTCTCTTTCGGGCTCTTCTCCCTCGCTCTTTCTCCCGACTCCTTTGCTCTGCTCCTTTGCTCAGCAGGGGCGGATCGGACTGTAGCTTAGCAGATAATTCGCGATCTTGTGCAGCATCGTATTTGCCTATGTGGTTAGCTCTCATTATAATTATAGGTACTCGAATCCTTCGTTTGAAAACTTCCAAACAATTTAATTACGTAATGATTCAAATTACTCCGAAATTATACGAAACCGGAAATTCTTGAAAGTCTTGAAAGATGTCGAAAGTTTCGAATATTTAAAAGCCTTGAATGTCCAGAGAAGCTTTTCTTCTTGAAAATATTTGAATATATGAAACATCTAAAATTCTCAATAATGAAAATGTTTATATTTTATAATTAATTAATATTATTTATAAAACAAAATGAATTAAAATAACATAAAGTGTAATAGAAAATTATAAAAAAGAAATTATATTTTTTATATGTTCGAGACTGTCCAAATTTTTAGTTTTAATATCCAAAACAATTTGAGATTTCTTGTTACACACATTCAAAATAATTGAATGCGCTTTTATTTATCACATTTTCCTCATTCGAGTTTCAGATTAAAGTAACGCGTTCCTCATTGAAATATCGATCCTCATTGAAATATATGATTGAATAGATTTATATCAATTTCGATGTTGCTGAAACATTCAAAGTTTTATCGAAAGATTCAAAACATCCGATCTCTAACTATTAACCATTCGCTCGTTTGTTATTACACAGATATCCTCGCGCGAGAATATAATTGATGTTGTTTTCTCTACATGTAACAATATCTTCTTCCTACGCCTGGATTGATATTATTTAATCGCGCGCGGTGCGTCGTCCGAGATGGAATTTCTTTTCAGTATCCGCTCCTGCTCCTCGCCGTCGCCACCACCGCCGCCTCTGCATCGTCATCACCATCTCCCTGACTTCTCTGTAACGGATAGGCCTCACCTCCGGAACGGAACTGACTCCAGTCTGCTTTCGGTTTGGCCATCGCGAATGCCAGCGTGCCGAGCTCAGTGAGAGCGTGGCGTTCACGACGTGCGCTTCGTTGACCGCCGATCACGCGGTCGTCGTCCTCGTCATCCCGGATAAAGTTTCCGGCGACCAGAGCGGATCGCACAATTCACGCCGTCCTATATATTATAGCTCAATCGTGTTAAATTAGAACGAAAAAAGATCGACGAAGGAGTACGCACGCGCGCGCACGCGCGCGCGGAGACCAGGATTTTACGACGAGTGGATCGATTCAGAATATTGCATGTGATCGCGATCGGAAGGAATGAGTCCAAATAATTCGGCGGACCCACGAAAGAGAAGCTCGATGTTCAAAAAGAGCCTGTAAGAGTCCTCTCTGTTATAAAATTTTTCGCTTAAATAAAATAATTCCTCTCTCCAATATTATAAATAATTAATTTAATATCTGCGAATTTCAGTAACATATATATATATATATATATATATATATATATATATATAA